GGCCGAGCTCAACGACATCGCGCTGCTGGAGCTGGATCGGCCCGTGGAGTGCAGCGATTCCATCGAGCTGGGCTGCCTGCCCGGAGACTCCCTGCACCTGGGCCAGCTCAAGACCTGCTACGTCGCGGGCTGGGGGACCACCTCGGCCAGAGGTGAGTCCAGGGTTGCCCCCAGGGACATGGTCTGGGGGTCAAGCAGAGCCAGAGGGGAGTCCAGGCGTGCTCCCGGGCAGGGTGGGCACTCAGGGCCATGACAGGGGAGGGGTGGGCATGGCACCACAGGGGTCTCACCCCCCTGTTCCTCCAGCCCAGGGCCCCAGCGAGAAGCTGCAGGAGGCCAAGGTGCACCTCATCGACACCAAACTCTGCAACAGCAGCCGCTGGTACGCGGGGGCTGTGCACACCCACAACCTGTGCGCGGGGTATCCTCAGGGCGGCATCGACCCCTGCCAGGTAGGAGCCTGCCATGAGCACCTCGGTCCTACGGGGACCCCCAGGGCCCCAAACACGGCACGGGCTGGGCCTGGTCCCTTCCCCTCCTGGGGGTATTCTGCCCCCCTCCCCCTCCCTGCCCCTGGGCTTCCCTTACCAGGGGTGGCTGAAAGGTCCCAGGGGTGGCTGAGGGGATCTCAGGGGCTTCCCAGGGCTGTCTGGGAGGTTCCAGGGGTGAGTGCAGGAGCCGCATAGGCTCCCCAGGTATGATTGGGTGGTCCTGGGGGAGACTGGGGGGGTGACTTGGAATCCCCAGGCGTGACTGAGGGGCCCGAGGGATGGCTGGGTGGGTCCCAGGGGTGACTGGAACCCCACTGGAGCTGGGCTGGGAGCACGGTCCCTCCCAGTGCCCCCTGACCCCTGTTCTCCCTGCAGGGAGACAGTGGGGGTCCCCTGGTGTGCCGGGACCCCCATGCTGACCACTTCTGGCTGGTGGGGGTGACGAGCTGGGGCAGGGGCTGGGCCAGGGCCCTCCGGCCAGGGATCTACACCTCCACCCAGCACTTCCACACCTGGATCCTACTCCAGCTGGGACTGCGCTCGGCCCCTCCCACACCATGGTCCCCCTGGAGTCCCGTGTGGGACCCGGGACAGAGCCGCCTCGGCTCCAGGCCACCTCTGCACCCCACCCTGGAGCAGCTCATCAGAGCGCTGCAGGATCTGCTGAGCTGGCTGAGAGATGCCATGAGATGAGCTGCGAGGGACAGATCTGGGGGCATGGATGGCCAGTCCCTTTTAGTAATCCCATTTCCAGGCCCCAAGGTCCACTGATGACCCTTTTCCAGTCCGTTTGTTATAAATTGCGGCCCAATAAATTAGCAGGAGCCAGTTCAATTAGGAAATTTATTTATTGAGCAAGCTACTGCAGGCAAAACTGCGCTGAGCGGCCGGGGAGTCTCTGCTCCGCCAACGGCGCACTCACCCCTTTCCCGAAGTCCCCGGTTTTATAATCTTCTGTTTCCCCCTCCACGGAGTTCTTCAGGTGTAGTTCCTCCGGTGTACTCTGCGCCTGCAGGAGTTGTTGCTGGGGGGTCTTGTCCCCCTCTCCTTGTGATCGTGAAGCTGGAGACTCCTTCCCTGATGCGGAAGTGGGAGAGGGGCACAGGAGTCCTGGGGGCTGCTGCAGCTGGGAATGCCAAGGTGGCCCCGGGGGGGCACAGGAACCCCTCTATAAATCGAGGCCTAACATCCCAGCTGAGGGCCACCCCAATCCAGCTGTCCATCCTTGGGGGCCCATGAGGGCTGGGGAGGGTCACTGAAGGGTCTCCCTGGATCAGGGATGGGGTGGCAATGGGGGGACTGACCATCTCTCCCCTCGATTGCCCTATTTTGTTTTTCAGCACTCTTGCGTTAGTAAGCTAAAGCAATCCCAAAATTAGTGCTCTGTACATCTGGCAAGACAAGGCAACATCCTGCGGTGAATCACTGTCTTGACTTATCTCCTCCCCTGTTCA